TATAGGGTTCGCCCTGACTGCTTACATGACACGTCAACGAAAAGTCCAGTGATCGGATTCGATATGGCTTGTTTGATAAGTTTATTTGAAGCCTGAACTACAAACATGGAGAAAACATGCTTTTAATTTCAGGTTTATAGAGATTCGGGTCCACTTGAACATATTATAGAGGCTACCGTAACTGGTGTTGCGATCCATGCACCACAGGCCTGCCTTGCTTTCTCTTTTAATGCATGTTTTATTAGGAAGCAATGAAACTTGCTATTAATCCTAAAGTATAATTTTAACACTTTTCTCAGTTAAAATGCGATGTACTAGAAAACCAGAAGCATAGAGTATTAAATGTTACCATGACCGTGATTCAAAAATTTTTCTCTTTTTACGACTCTCGCAACAGATGATGACGCTGAGCTATTTTCCAAGTAAATGTTAAAAAAATTTCCCTCTAGGTTTACATTAATACCGTCGCCGCTGTTGGTGGATCTAGGTTCACCATTGTTAATGGTATTTTTGTGGTCGGACTAGAAAGTGTTGGCGCTCATCCTGGTCCTGCTCGCTATCGGAAAAAGGGACGAGTAACCATTCGTTTTTTATTTGAAGTAAATTCATCACTGTTACTGCTTTTGCTCTTGTTATTATTTTCATCATTTTCACTATCATCCTCCCAACTGTTTACCGCCTCATCGTGGCTGGGAGGTGTTGCTGGGTGTCGGGCTGCGATGTGCAACGGGAGGATCCTTTCCTCTGGCAAGGTTTTCCAAACTGAGAAGGAGTCCGGCCTTTCCATTAGGAAGCTCAGCTGAGAGCAAAGCAATACCAGGGTCTACCACTGTCCTGGTATCAAACTAGTCGTATGGTGGCAAATCTCCCTCTGATCCACAAAGGCTGTGACTACTTGTGATGGTAAAGACCTGTGTCAGAGTTTGGCCACGCTAACCACGGGATTCCAGGAAACCACAGTGGCATAACCAGCAAATCTCCGATAAATGGAAATTATGCTGAGCCCGCACAACCAGTCAAGATGGGGCATCCAAGCATCAAGTAAGTATCAAGTATCACTATCATAGTGCTATTTTTGTTGTTATTATTATCACCAACTTTACTATTTTATCATTTTCATTATTGCTAAGCCTACTTCTCACTTATCTAAATGACCGGATTTCACATTTTGTGCTGATCCCAGCACTTGTTTCATTTAGTTCGTTTCCTATGTGGGTGTGTCCAAACCGCTCGATTCATGGAGATCGGCCATACTATCACGAACAGAAGTTGGTGCCCCTATGTGAAAATTTGATTCAGATTTAATTTTAAAAAGAAATGCTGTCGTTTAAGAAATGCAGCACTAGTTTTACGTCTACGAAAAGGGGTTTCTCAGAAAAACAAAATATCCCCGTCAAAGGACTGGCAGACCAAGGAGCACCTGACTGAAAACTACAAGAAGCTTCTCGACGGACTTCAAACTTGTGCCGAACTGGCCTCAGTTCTTTGTTCCAGTTTTAGAAAGCTTTACTGGAGGACTTGCTTACGCATAAGTAGAAATAGTTGTTGGAAGTAGCAAAAAAGGATCTATTCTAAAAAACTGCAGTGGGGTTCTTTGCTGCTGTAATGCTCCGCTATCCATTCTGATGAGCGGAGGTTGCACTATAACTACATCCCGTCGTGATATGGTACCGATGAAGAAAACGCTCTGTACCAATTTTTCGGTCCCACCACATTCCTCTCGGGCCCGAAATCCCCGCCGGTGAAAGACAACCGCCAGGATTGACCTTCTCAAATTCGACTTGCGCTATAAAACATGAGGACAGGCACAGCTCTAAGCTCTAGAACCACATAATGTCATAATATCAATGCCGATTTTCTGCAAGCATGAGGTCACAAATTTCGTGTACTTGCCGAAACCCAAACGGCAACCTGTCTTCAGAACGAGGAAATGTCAGACCATTAAAGGATATTAAGCAAAGTAATATTAGCTTAAAAGAAATAAATGAAGTGCTTTTCATAACTATGGTCTGATATGCTTGTTGAGTGTACGACCTATTCGCGATGATTAATTATCCTTGTGCTCCTGCTGAAGACCTTGGATGACGCACACCCAATTATGCAAGCAATATTCGGATAGCCACACTGCTTACACGATCCAGTCCCATACTGGGTACAGGGTCGACAGAATTTCGTCGAGAGTACTATCTGCCTTTTGTCCTAACCTTTATCGCTAACGAGAAAGCGTTTGAGATAGAGGAAATGAATGCAATCCTGTCAGCGCTCGTCGATCAAAGCGTGAACCCTTCCTATATACGTATATCTTGCTGACTATTATTATAACTGCAATACAAAAGTACAGCTTTTCAGTGGTCTTCTTGCGATACCCATAGGAAGAGGGGTTTGACAAGGCGAAGCAATATGGCAAAGCTTTCAAAAGATGCACTGCGGTGGATAATCAGGTCACTCGATTCTAGTGTGAACGGAATATATGTATATTTATAAACATTTTCTATTAAATCTTTGCTTTTTCTAAGACATTTTTATCTTTTTGTGAAGTACCAGCTGAAGTGAGACGATAGAAGAACTCAACGAAGCGGGAAAAAAAATTCAAATGCGCATGAGCACGACGAAGACATGCTGTTCATGAAAAGCGCGCGTGTACCTTGCAGTTTCAGTGAACATGGAGCACATCATGAGCAAGGATATAGGCAGTAGGACGAGAGCGGCACAGGCCGTGTTCCGGACTCCCAAATAAGTCTTCTACCAACTAGTGGGATCAATATTCCACGCTCATAGTTGCAAATCAGCAATCCTCCCTATTCTTTATATTCTTGTTTTGCAAACACGAGGTGTTACTTCATTTCTTTATTTTTGCACAAGCTGACGTTTCGGCGGATTTCGCCTTCCTCAGAACCTGGAAAGGTCAAGTTGACCGGACTACCCAGCCAAACCACTCCGTAACCAAACAGAAAATGCTGAACAGTGGTTTCAATACCATTGATCACAGAATAGCGTCTTTGCGCACTCATTCCTTCCTTTGAGTGTTCTACTAAGTATTTCTTGCGGTAGCAGACCGCGCAGAGTTCACATGAAAGCGAAATGTGCCCTTACGTCAGAATAAAAGCTTGAATACTGTCCAATATCACGCTTGATTATGAGGCATTGTCCTTGCGGGTGTTTCTCGGTTCCTTGGAAGCAATCCAGAATGCCTCGAGAGTTTTGCGTGCTGATGATTTCAATTCTTCTGCGAGGATCCTAACTACTACTTCAAAATCTTTCCCGTTATCTTTTTGTGTCCGCTCTGTATACTTACCTAATGAAGTTTTTGGCTTAAGTCTACCGACTAGGTATTCTTTTAGACGGGCGCAAAGTAGTCTACCCGTTTCGCCAATGTATTCGCCGCCGCACGCTTTATAAGAGAGCTGTTACATAGATTTACTTCTAGTTGGACGTCGGAATAAAAATACTAAATTCCTTTTAAGCTTAATCAAGTTTTATTAGTAAATAACTCTTTGCTGCGTCTCGAAACTCGATAGCCATAAAGGCTCCACATCCGAGATGGTGTCTGTGAACCATGAAGAGGGGGAGCTACTGCTATAAATTACGACAAACTTTCGAAATAATTTTTAAATGATCGAAAATTATCTGTCTTGACTCCAAATAATACACACAACCACGATTGTGCTTTTAGGCCAACCATCAGGAGTTGTAGACTATAATGCATAGAAAGGAGCATTCTTTGTCTGACACCTGTTACAACACATGTGGTGCGGGCGTTGTCGACTGAATAGCAAAAACACAACAACAAGCCCAAAGAAGGCATTTTTCTTCCAGAGATGGTCGTAAGAGTTATCACTGAATAACAATGGAAGGCTGGCAATAAAATCACTGCAGGAATTTCGAACTCAGAATTCTAATAATTCTTTCTATTTCTGTTAGGCAAACACGAGGTGTCACTTTATTTCTTTGTTAACGTACAAGCTGACGTTTCGGCGGATTTCGCCTTCCTCAGAGCCTGGAAAGGTTAAGTTGACTACAACCTACTCGGTCAAACACCTCCATAACCAAACAAAGAAAATACTGAACCAAAATTTCAATCACATTGAACATAGAGTCTTTACACACTCACCACTTTCTATGAGTCTTCCACTCAAAATGTCACGTGGAGACCACCCGCATAATGTACACAAGGAAACGTATTGCGCCTATCTCATCAAACTAACAGGCTTATATACTGTCCAATATCACGCGTGATAATGAGGCATTCAATTCTGAGGTCAAAATTCTAAGGCATCGAACTTCGTGTGCACTTTGATGATGCTGAGATATTTGTAAAACTACGGATCGCAGGTGTCTGCGGTGGGGAGCGAACGTGCTACTGTCTTTTCCGGGGAGAAACGTGTTGACCACCACACCATGCGGGTCCTTCGTTTCGCCTGTCAGCTAGTTCTATTGATCTTTCGCCATTAGCAATCACCCGCCAGCGGATTTGATCCGAGGAGCCGAAATCGGCAACGGAAATTCAACGAACGTTGCCGATTTGGGCTCTCCAGATCTGAGAGACAAGCGAAACGAAGGGCCCGCATGGTGTGGTGGTGAACACGTTTCTCCCCGGAAAGGACAATAGCGCGTTCGCTCCCCACCGCAGACACCTGCGGTCCGTAGTTTTACAAATATCTCAGCATCATTAAAGCTATATTTCGCAATATATACCCTGCCATTAAGAATAGTAGGCAGTAAATAATAAGTTAGAATCTGTGTGCACTAATAAACTTTTATAAAAAACAGCATTATGCAGCCATAGCAGCTAGCAACTAAGTTAGCAGTTACTTTTTCGCACCACGAGATGGTTAGGTGCAGAATCGAATCATATTTTTTTGAATTGGAATACTTCTTGATTTAATGTCGATCTCAGTTGAAGTTCCCCTGTCAGAACTAAACTCGAAAGACTTTTCATCTGCTATTTATCTCCAAAATTTATTACAATGGATATGATAACAATTACTGAACAAATCAACTTATAAAACAGTATGATACTGTATCATTGTCAGCTGGGTCTCATGGGTTTTCTGGAATGTGTCATCGTGATTGAGGTCCTCGAGCACCTTTTCACCTGTTTGACCGGCTATCATCGATGTAACCTGCAAACGGCTTCTTTTTAATATCATTTTCTCGTAGAGTTCACCTTGGAGTTCTTTCTTAACGTTTCGGATTGAGCTCGTTTCATATTTTTCATAGACGTGAAAGAGTGATGACAGTTTGGAGAAATACCAAATGAGAAAAAAAAATTGAGGAGAAAATGACAAAAGATCTTTAAATAAATTACAGATGAAGATATACAGGAGATAATCGACCTTGTCACATACGATGTGGCCTACTATTTGGTCCTTCTTTGAATGAATAGAAAAGATATAACGACCTTCATATCCATATTGCTTGTTAATATCCTGAAAAAAAATCCCTGTTCATATCAGCATTGGAATGAAACTACATTATCAATATCACAAGAGCAATTTCTTATTTAGTTGGCTACAATGTATATGGATACCTGCAGAAATTCGCTTTCATTAGGACAAAATCCTGAATAGAGTCCGGTTACTTGATTACAAACGGGGATCACACTCAGCACACATCCAGGAATAGCAACGCCACCCACCTATAAATCTATTACGACAATGTGCTATTACGACAATATAAGAAAGAGCTATATCTCAGAGCTATTTAAAAAGGAAGGATTGCAAACGAGATTCATCAATAACGGCCAAAGCTGCATCTTCGATAGCTGACGATGATGCCTCCTCCGAATATTTAAGATGCTAGAAGCTAACTGCACAGATTTTGTAATTCCACACAGTCCACTTTCGGTTTTACATATGTTCATAACAAATATTTTCACAAAGCTGAAAATTTTGAAAACTTGTAATACAAGCATAGCAGTGGCGCGTGTGGCGCAGTGATCGGAGGCGCCCTGCAACACACGTGGAATCGATTCACGCGCTCATGGCCAACCAAGTCTTTCATCCCTCCGGAGTCGGTAAATTGGTACCAAACTTGTCTGGGAGCATAGCAGCACTGGCTCGATATATCGTTGGGCCATCGCGAGTCATTGTAAAGGCCAGATATGCATTCAATCACCTCCAAACTATGTTTAATGAAGTCGAATGCACGGCGTATCCCTCAGAAATTGATCAATTCCGAGAGCTTTATCCTTTATCGTTTTACGCCTCGCAGTAGTGGTTAATTGGGATGCACTTCTACGTTGTTCTAGACAAAATCCCACCTGTTCATTTTCCTTTGTGTTCGAAATATGAGCTTGAGGGAAGAATGAAGTGGAAGAAATGTGCGTTATAAGCTTGGCAAAATTGTAAGTATTCCAACCAATTGGTTGAGCAGCAACACAGAATAATACATGGGCCAGGAACGAGGAAAAGAACAAGGTAGTTCTTATCTTTTGTATAGTCTATGAATGTTTAATACAATAATGTGAAGATTACAATAGTCTTAATCTCAACTGATAAGGTCCGGTATTAGTTGCGATATGACGGCTTGTAGTTGAAAGCGGCCGTTGTGTCCGCATAAAATGCATTGCATCCAATGCATCTACGGCTTTATCCATAGTGTTAGGAAAAAAAACGTCGTCGGAACATGTACCGACATTTCCAGCAAATTGAAAGTTGACTTTGACCCATCTGTTGATTCATCCGATCATATTGGTCCTTGGCTGTCTTTTCTGTTCATCCTTTGTCCCATTTCTCTTTCTCTTTTGTTTGTAGTTTTATTCTAGTGCGCCTTTATTACATTCAATTCAAGCGACATCTGAAGGCAAGAAATAGCTAACACATGACTTAGCTGAGCTTACGGTATGAATTTTTTCGGAATACAACTAGGATTTGCCAGTGGAAGGTGGAAATTTACTGGTTTACTACATAAAATGCCAAAATAGTTCAACTATGAAAGCAACTATTAAAGAAATTAACATCTTGGAAAGTGCAGATAAATTCACTGTTGCTTATTCTAAACTGGGCCAAACCAGTCACCCTCTCTGCCGTGATGTTTAGCCATTAGAACACGTTTGACATTTCCGAGAATAGAACAAGTAATATGAATAAAGCGAATGGATAAAATGAGTACCTGCAAACTTATACCGTGGTTCGGGCCAGCGACACCAACAAATGTGTCGATGAATTTCGTGAGTGGTGCGCCCAGATATTCGCCAGAGTCCACACATCGACCTATTATCATTTGCCTGATCTTGTTCCATTCGTAACGGACCATAGTTCAATCTATATCGGACCCCAACCTTCTTTTAGCTTTATTTTATCAGTATATGGTTGATTTTGAGGGAGAAAACAAGTCATCGAGTATGAGATTGAAGTATAACGTTTTAATCAGTACATGACGGTTATCATTCATATGTTTCTTCTAATCTGGGATTACATTTAGGTCGAGAATCTTTTTTTGTTCAGCGAAAGAGGTTTGTAGAGTTGACAACGTTCCGTGCATTCCACTTGGTCCGTGACTCTACGGAATTCATTGGGTAGGCCAATCTGGTATGCAATTCCCACAACCACTTTTTTTAACCTCGGCATTGATTGATAATTCTGTGTTTTTTTTCAATAAGCAGACACGAGGTTGTTATTACAGGATTTATTAGGATACAATAGCTGACGTTTCGCTGGCTTCGCCTTTTCAGAGCCTGGAAAAGTCAAATTGAGATGCGATCTAGTCAGCCAAACGCTTTCATAACCCCAGCAGATAAAACTTGACAAATGGATTTGCATTCGCATAAGAAACAGCTTTATTTAAACACCTACCGTTTATTTGTTGTAAGTATTTAAGTTAGTTGATGGATAGCCGCCGCACAGAGTAATACATGGGCGATAACTGTGTCTGTGCCAGGTCATTGGATAAGCCTGAGGTATGGCGCCAGGTCACGCGTGATGACAAGACACTCCTCCTTAAAGTTCATTTTTGAATTTTTGGAATTGATCTAAAACGCTTCAAGAGTTTTACGCTTTGATGTTTTTGATTCGTGCGTGAGGATAGTGACTCCTACTTCAAAATCTTCGTTGTGTTCCAGCATCCTATGGGCGCCTAATCGCGTTTGCTCAACAAAAATGCGAAGAATTACTTGATCAGTGCCGAGGTTAGTAGAAAGTCGGTCGCGGGAGTTACTGCAAGATATACCAGCAAGATACTTCCGACTTGTAAAAGAAGCGCTGTCACGGAAACAAAAGATCGTCTTAGCTCGACAGTCAATACACTTTCTCCGCCGCTGTCTAAAACATCAAGTCGTTCCGAACTTCATCAAACGAAGACGACTGCACGACGTATGCGGACTACCAGAGGACAGTCACCGAGCACTGGATATCGAATTGCGAACACTACGCACCTGTCTACGAAGCCGACAAAACCAGATGTTCACCAAGTGGAAGAAGTGCGAGACGAAGGAAAACTTTTCTGCTCAGTATTTGGAAGACCGCCTCTGGAGGAGAATAGTGGGCAGGTCAATGTTGATTTGCAACTCTATTAGGTCAAATGCTAAAGTAACTTTGCGGATAAAATTCGAAGACCTTTTGAGTAAATCGAATAACACTGCTTCAATAGCGCACAAAAATATCGGTAAGGAACATCAAAAAGATCACAATAGGATAGGTAATGTGCGAGAAAATTCAAGGCTAACCGTGTTAGGAGGCATGACTCTCCCTGACGGTACGCGCTCGTTATTAAAATTGGGGCCGAGTTTCTCACCATCCGAACCCATTTCTAAGATAACCTTGCGTAGGGTCACATGCAGTTTACATGAACTTCAAGATAAACTCCGCAAAAGAGCTAGAGATGAAGCGCTAAATAGGTGCGAACAAAACCAAGTGAGGGCTCTACCAATGGCACCATTTCCTCCGCCGTTTTTAAGACAACAAGAGCCCAATAACGATGTTGATGTTAATTTTCGGCTGTTTGCGAATCAAACTCTCAAAGTCCTTAATCACTATCGCGCTAAGAGATACTGCTCCAACCTCACTGAAATACAAAAACGTGGTATGCGAGAGGTACGAGAGCTGATAAGGTTGAAAACCATAAGACTATCCGTTAGTGATAAGGGTGGAGAGTTTGTTGTAATTCCTCATCAGTTGGAAGTGGAGATAACGAAAAAACATCTTGAAGATGCTTCACCTTATCAACCATCATCTAAGAAGGAATTTAAAAGTAAATACCGAAAATTGAACCACGAATGGGCCAAAATGGCAAGGGCTGCTGGTTTAAAACCATTAGTTATCTCTCTACTAAAAGTCGACTTACCAACATGCCCCGTCTTGTACTTACTTTTAAAAACTCATAAGTTAGTATCCAGCGATGATCTTGCGTCTACCGATCCATCACTATTTAAGGTTAGACTAATGATTAGCTGCGTAAACGGGCCAACGGACAGAATAAAGAGCACTTGATAGCGCTCTTAAAAGAATGCTTGAGCTGCTCAATCTTCAGATGGTCCAGAAAGTAGTATGCTCAAATAAGAGGGTTGGCAATGGGACGACGTCTGGCTCCAAGCCTTGCCATTGCATTTATGTCTAAGGTGGAAGCACCGGTGACTGATCTCGGGCCGCTACTCTACTGTAGATATGTAGACGACTGTTTTGTCCTTTGTTCAACACAAGAAGAAATGGACAAATGTTTCAAGTTGTTAAATTCACAGTCAGAGTATATCAAGTTAACCTGTGGAAAGCCGAAAGAAAAATGGCTTCCATTCCTGAACGTACAAATTCACCTGTCAGAAAATGGCTACATTACAAAGCGGTACCGAAAGCCAAGTAGTAAAAACATCTTGATTCATTACCTCTCCTCTCACCCCTCTCACACGAAAAGGGCGTTTATAAGAAACATGTTTCGAACAGCAACCAACGTGTGCACGGGAGGAGAGCAGAGAGAGGAGTCCCAGAACTTGGCGCAGCAAATAGCCATTTCTAATGGCTACGAAACTGTAGCTCAGGATAGGTGTAGGGGAAATCCAAAGCCTCCAAACGTCAACTCTAGCGACAGAAGGGTCTCGTTTACCCTACCCTTCATCTCAAATGATGTAAGTACAGCTATAAAACGCTGCTTAAGAAGGGCGGGTATAGAAAATTCGATAAACGTAGTTGAAATACCACCGAGTAATCTTAAGCGCCAACTATTCGTGACTGCCTCTATGACCGTCTATGTGCAACTCAAAACCGCATAATTTGCCCCAGTGGTAGAGACGGTTATAGCATGAGCTCAGGTATAGTTTATCTGATCTCCTGTAAGACGTGCGGAGACGAATACATTGGCGAAATGGGCAGACGCCTCTGTGCCCGCATAAAAGAACACCTAGCCGGCAAACATAGACCAAACACCCCGTTAGGCACGCATAGGACCCAGAGACATAACGGAGAAGGTTTTGAAGTAAGGGTTACAATCCTCGCGCAGGAATCGAGAACACAAGCGCGCAAAACTCTCGAGGCATTCTGGATTAATTCCAGAAATCCAAAAATGAACCGCAGGGAAGAATGCCTCATTATCACGCGTGATATAGGGCAGTATATAAGACCGCTATTCTGATGGGAGGGGCACATTATGCTTCCATGTGATTTCTGTGCGGTTAGTCTTCATGCGACATACTTAGTGGAAACCTCATAGAAAGCGGTGAGTGCGCAGAGCTGTGTTCAATGTGATTGAAATCTTGGTTTGGAGTTTCTTTGTTTGGTTATGGAGGCGTCTGGCCGAGTAAATTGCTATCAACTTGACCTTTCCAGGCTCTGAGGAAGGCGAAATCCGCCGAAACGTCAGCTTATTCGTGAATAAAGAATAATAACACCTGGCGTTTGCTCAACAAAAATACGAAGAATTACAACTTTGTTTGTTAAGTTTTATCTGCTGAGATTATGAAAGTGCTTGGCTGAGTAGATCGCATCTCAATTTGACCTTTCCAGACTCTGAAGAAGGCGAAACCGCCGAAACGTCAGATATTGTATCCTAATAAATTCTATAATAACAACCTCGTGTCTGCTTATTGAAAAAAAACATCGAATTACCAATCTGGTATGGTTAACTCACTGGGTGCAGTTTTGCTAATTAGTGACTTAACACTTAACAAAAATAAGATGATTATTACAAAGTGTTTACACACTGCCTGCCATACATGCGAGGAGTTCGTTTTCCCATTCATTCATTGATTGAACGGTACAGCACGGTAACCACCAGTTTACGGTTCCTTCACATTTGTTTAATTAGCTATCTAACTGAAGACTGTTTCGATCTCTTCTGATAGACTATCCGAAGTTTTTTAGCAGGTCAACTCGACTTCTGCTGTATCACTACAAACTTGTGGTATTTCCAGTTCGAACAATTTGTTCAAAAGATTCCGTAGCTGGTTCCTATAAATTACTTGCCCCAAATCACTCTAGATTTTTAAGAGCTTTTAAGCATTATTTGAGCAGTAAAATCACGGTCACCTCCTAAGATAGCCTTCCTGGATACGGGCACTCCAAGTGAGAAGGCGATCACGTCCACAGCACGGCCTGTGTAGAGTCGAGTCGCAACGATAAGAGCTCGAATCTGTAATCCATAACAGGCCATATGAAATTGAGTATATCTGGACCGCATTAGGTATGCAGCACATGTAAAAATCAATGAAGCGATTGATTTAATGAATGCTAGTATGTCGCTGTAAACCGCTTTTCGATTAGCTCTATACATCTATTGGTATTTTTTCCATTCGCTACCAGCTCGGCTTTGCTGTGGTAGTATGTTTCATGCAGAGAATTCTTAAGAACACTCTATATAGATGACAGAAAGTTTCGAAGTTGATGCTAACGACCCTTTTTCTTTCAAAAATTGAAAAGAATGAGGAATATCATTGTGATCCACCCAAGATCTGAAGGTTTTTGGTGAAGTATGTGCTTAGTAAACTTCCTATTTACTTTCTGTGAAATATGACACAATTGCTTATAGAAGAAGGCTGAAGATTAAAAAAAATACCATTGTTATCCTTTTGAGTCTGGAAGAAGGAGAGAGCGTAGTGGTTAGTGATATAATCTATCAGGAAACAGGGAGCTCTTCGAACCCATCTCCAGCGTTCTCAATCCACTTGGGAGCGCCTTAGTCTGGATATCTCCAAGATTGGAAGGAAAATCGACTCGATTAGCATTTTACGACATTCATAAAGAAGACGAAACCCTCGAGCAGAAGCCGAGGCAACATGTGAAATTTTGAAGAGCTTTGTGGACGATGAATGGTAGGGAAACAAATAGAGTGAGAAAAGTGTTGGGATTGGCACACTATATACGAGTTATATAAAGCAAAAAATAAGAAAACCACTAGATCTTAAAATTTCTTGCTCGAAGACGACTAAAATCAGACTTAAAGTTTAAGAAGTCTACGTTGTTAATTAATACTCGCCTTTAATCTGTTCCATAGAAATTCTATACTCATCTCCAACACAACACAAAAGCAATGAGAACTTTCTTGTTGAAGAATAGAACATGATCAGCATATGTTTACCGAAATTATAAATCCGAGGAAAAACAAAGAAAGTTCTTGACGGAAGCTCACCTGTTTCACGTATTCACATCTCATACCGTACTCCACCCACTTGAGAGGGTTTCCTTGAGATCCATCGAAATACGTTGTAGCATACAGCTCGCTACTTTTGTATCCCATCGACCTGCACAGCCTCCATTCAATTCGTTCCTAAGGCCAGTTCTCGTTAAGAGAACACCGGTTAAGGACTCTTGAACACAAAGGAACCCTTCGCCATCTGCTGTATTCGAAACATAGTTACATAACGAAAGGCAAGTTAAAAAACGATATCAAGAATCTTTACTTACTGCCCATTATTTTTCTCGCAGCAGCGTATTATGTGGAATATAACCACAATAATGCTAAAATATGAGCAAATCTCCGAGCCTCAGGTCCTCTTCGACCCCACCCTTTCCGTGGTCTCACGTATAATCCGTTGCACAAACGGATGCCGCTGCTTTGCCTTCCTCTCATCAGTTTTCTTCGTACTCTAACATCGCCATCAGCAATCACCCGTCAACATGGATGATCTGGCAGCACAATTTCACACTGAATCCATTTGAGCAGAGACAAAAAGCTTGCCGAGAGAAAGACAAAGCAAGAGCCTCCTTGGTGCAGTAGGTAACATGTGAACACCCGTGAAAGGTAATTGCGGGTTCGAGGCACAGCTTTGGCCACGGGTTTTTTTCTCATACCTCAGTATCATTGTGGTTGTATTACAAATTAAGGGTTTAGAAAGACGCCATTTTCTTGTTCAGCAATCGCGAGGTATTTAAACAGCATGCATTTACTTCCATAGAGAAACACAATACAATACAACACTAGCTGACGTTTCGGCAGCATCGCCTTCTTCAGAGCCTGGAAGGGTATACTGATATACAATCTACTAGGCCAAACTCTTCAATAACACATACAAAGAAGCGAAAAAACTATGATAATCACATGATCAACAGCTGATCAAAAAACCCACCGCTTTTTCGTGACTTCCAATGAGGAAGTTTAGAACAGCTGATTATAGTCGCATATGGTTGACGACTGCACCATCCCACATCAGAAAAATTTATACGGATACATATCCGTATAAAAAATCACCCAGATGGCAAACGAAAACTAAGATAAAGTACCCTACTAGGCACGCATAGAATACAAAAGCATAGCGGAGACGATTTTGAAGTAAAAGTCAATATCCTTGCACAGGAGTCTAAAACACCAGCGCGAATGCTTCTTGAGACTTTTTAGACAAATGCCAAAAACCCTACAATAAATAGCAGGAATGAATGCCCAGAGGTCATACGCGACTTGACCCCGTATGTTCGCATCGATTTCTGATCTGGGATGCTGCAGTCATCAACCATATGCAACTATAATCAGCTTTTCTAAACTTTCTCATTGGAAGTCACGAAAAAGCGGTGGGTTTTTTGATCAGCTGTTGATCATGTGATTATCATAGTTTTTTCGCCCTTTTGTATGTGTTATTGAAGAGTTTGGCCTAGTAGATTGTATATCAGTATACCCTTCCAGGCTCTGAAGAAGGCGATACTGCCGAAACGTCAGCTAGCGTTGTATTGTATTGTGTTTTTCTATGGAAGTAAATGTATGCTGTTTAAAAACCTCGCGATTGCTGAACCAAAAAACCACGTATTCATAATCCAATGCCGAGGTTAATAGAAAGTCGATCCTGGGAACTGTTTAGAAAGACGTTTTCCTTTTAAGTCGTCAAAATTATTGATATATAGTTTACATATCTATCTACCTTATTTATTTCTCCATCTTTGTTTATTACTACAGCGAACAGTTTACCGGTGTAAATCAAAATTGCTCTCCTCTTGTAATTCCAAGAGCTACTTTCTATGGATGGACAAGCGAAGTGAGTGCTTACATAAACCATTCAGCTGCTTGTTTCATCTTCTCGCCGGCCGTGTCCGAAACACCGTGTACAAACACAATTGGTTGATTGTTGAGACGTTCTGTTCTATTCGCTTTTCCACCAAAGGATCCCGTCGATCCAAGATCTCGCCTTCAAAATGAAAAAGATTGCTTCGCTTCACAGTTTTGTACAATTACGGAGCAGTTTAAGAAGGTATGTACCGTAATCGAGGACATAATACTCAAGCTTGACTGGCTTAGCACGCTGATAGTCGTGACTTGTGCATTTACAATAAGTGCGACTCTAAGTGAACAAATCCTAAGTTATAATCACAATCTTAACCCTTTTATTTACTGCCTTTTTCTTTCTAATGGCAGGGTATATTGCGAAATAAAACTCGTAGATAATGCTGAGATATTTGAGAGACAGGCAAAACAAAGGACCCGGATGGTGTGGTGGTGAAATGCGTTGCTCCCCGGTAAGGACAACAGCGCGTGTTCGTTCCCCACCGCATACACTTGCGGTCCGGACTTTTGCAAATATCTCAGCATTATATACGAATCCTAAGTTACACCACTTCACGTGATATTTATTGTAACAGCAATCGTTTTTTCATTGTATATTCAATCAAAGACGTATGAAAATTGAAGCATAAGTCGACTATGTTTACTACAGAGTGATTCGGGTGGGTTCTTATAAATGAACTTCCCATTCTTTCCTGCGTCCACTCTACCTAACCAACAAACTTTGCTTCGCTTGAAAAATACAGGAAACCCTCAGTTAGCTCATCGATTATTCTAATCAAGTACCCGAGAACGTCACCGGAACATTTCGAGCTCTACTAGAGCTTGCGTGAAGATTCTTTATTGGCTGTCATATGGAACAACGTCCCATTTCGTGTCTCTCTGTCGCCAGATTTAACCCTTGTGGCGAAATCGACACGTAAGATAGAAATAGCCAAAAGCAAACACCAACACTAGAGTTATCAGTCTGATGTAGCTTTTCCCCGAATCCATCTACCTCTCAGGACATGGGCATAGTAGATTCTGGTATGGCTTCATCTTCATCGCGGCTAACCGAAGCAATGTGCGTGAGTAAATTTAGCAAAAAAAAGTTTAAAATGGCGAATGTAGACATAAGTACAGCAGAAACGAGCGCGGCTACACAAAAATGAGTTTAAAAGGTGCGATTTTAACGACTAAAAAGTGATATCAGGAAAACTGGAGAAGTAAGATGCTGCTTCCGGTCACAGAACGGTGGCCATTCGGTGTGTAGTTGAAGTTTTTAGAATGTTTTAACCATTGTATACCTTTGACCCCTTTCCAATTGTTTTCTTCCGAGATGTCGTATAGAAACTCCGTCATTGCATTTACCGAATGAAAACCGTTTTTTTCCGTTTCTTCTTCTTTAAGGGCGCATGCGGCGCAGTGGTTGGAGTCATCCTGCAATAGACACGGGATCGAACCCCGCGACTAACGCTCACCAAACCCTCCAACCTTCCGGAGTAGGCAGATTGGTACCAGATTTGTCTGGAAGGATAGCAGACTGGCTCGATACATCGGTAGGCCACCGCAAGTCATCGTAAAGGCCTGATATGCATTTCATCAGCCCCGACGATACTTAATGAAGTCGAATGCATGGCGCTTCCTTCAGGGATTGGTCAAAGCCAAGAGCTTTATCCTTTATCCTTTTATTTAAGCTGATCTAAATCTCAATGATAGTTTTTTTGTTAACTCAAAAAACGTAATTGTAAATTTAAATATGAGCCCAAATATAGTTTACGAAGGTAAATACAATTTAATGTTGATTTTACGTTATAGTTCTTTAATTCACTAAATGGTAACCACTCAAACGAGGGTACCAGGCGTTGAAGTGGGGCGTAAAGCCAATGTTTTATGCTTCTAGCAGCGTTTTTCATCACTGTGAAGAACAAGATCATTCTCAGAGCAGCAAGGAGTCGATACTTGTTAGTGCACAATCAGGTGAACCACCTGTGACATTCGTAATACCGGAGATACTAAAAATAAAACACGGCATATCGAATTTGTGTTGCTGTTTGTTTTTGCACATGAGCGAAAAGAGACGATTTCGCCTTGAACACAATAGAGACTATTCGCAACTTAAAAGAAGATGAAACAAAGTTTACCTTTCCATTTGGTTTCTCACATATGGGCCATAGTAAGTGGCAAGAAATGCTGAGAAATCAGGAGAGAACTCGGAAGATACGGTCACGAATATAGCGGCCGAAATGAGGATCTGAAATATCAGCATTAAAGATATTGCCAAACATGGAAACACGTATACACTAACATTCATTTTTCTAAAAGGAGAAAGCTCAGTCGGTATAGTTCCGGATTGGTGGAATGCACTGCAATTGAAGGTAAAGCGAGTGGATTGTGATTGGCGCCGCGTGGTGGATAAAGCGACGATCGTCCGTGTCTCAAGCGAATGCTCGATAATAACCAGTTTGCAAGTCGTATTGGAATATCAGTGAACACGGAAAATTCGCTGTGAAGATGCGTCGACGTTCGACGCTATTGTCCCCGACATGATTATCGGTGAACACGATTTCATGCACGAAAATGGGATGGGTAAGGTAAAAGGGAGATGCTGCGCAAGAACAGGATAACCGACTTTTTTGGCCACAAGCGAAGACACATTTTGAGCCCGGTATTTGATTTGGTGTTGAAAAAGTGAAAAGCTCAGAAATCACTTTTTCAGGAAATCATTATCGACGATAGCACTATCACATTTGTTAATACTTGCAGCGAATAACACCAGCACAAATATTGCTCCTGTTTTTTGACCTGAACAGCGCACATTCACTGCCCATGTAAGACTTCGTGCTGTTGATCAACTGGAAGACTTCCAAACAAAAAAACGGTGAGTAATATTTCGAAACCGACTTTCTTTGAACCTCGGTATCACTAATCAACATGTATTCTTTCTTTGATGAGCTTACACGAGGTTGATAATGTTGTTTATTTCCGGCTAACGTTTCGACGTCCTCGTCTTCCTCAGAGCCGATGATCCGAGTCGATGGTCCTCGCTTGTTATTTGTCTCGACGTGGCAGCTTCGCCTTCGTGTCGAGTCAGGTCGTCTTCAGTGAGCCATCTCCTCGAATGAGGTATCCTTACTCAATGATGCCCTTTTATACACGATGTTGATGGTGGATATAATGATAATGTCCGGTGATAAGAACTTGTCTTTTTTCCGGACATAATCATCGCGCACATCGTGCAGAAGTCGGTGTTATTGTTAGCGAGGACCATCGACTCGGATCATCGGCTCTGAGGAAGACGAAGACGTCGAAACGTTAGCCGAAAATAAACATCATTATCAACCTCGTGTAAGCTCGTCAAAGAAAGAAAACGGTGAGTGTCTAAAAAAATTAAAACTTAGAAAAGCTTAAAATTAGAATTATAGCTAGATTGAAACAGAATTTCGAAGTGTCAGGGAGAATAGATTATCGTGTCGGTGATCCGTTGATTTCTCAGAAGGCAAAAAGAAAAGCCGTGAACCCGTCCGCGATTTGAATACTCCAAGTGCTGGTTTTTCCGACAATAAACGATAAATTTCCGACAGATAGAAAACCAATAGGTTTGGAAATATCAATTATGAAAGGCTTTTTTCTTCATCCATCTAGAGGTAGAGCATCTACTATATGCCACATTTTGCTATATCTCGTCTGCCGAAAGCATTGCTTCCAGAATTTTGGCGGATTTACCACTTATCTTGAAGATATTGCAATAGTTCTTATATTCTTCCATTTTGTACGATAGTTGTAAGTGGTAGTAAAAAGAGGAAAAAAAACATTAAACTGTTGCTAAAAAAATTGAACTCTGCGTTCTCCACATCAGGTGCAATGCAGCAGGTTTTCTATTAATTCCCGACCATTTTCAGTAAGTAGAAGATTTATGAAACCCGTGACTTGAAAAACTTGTAAAAAATTTTTTTCAGTGTTTCCCAAAAAAGCAGTAGCTCCGCCAAAGCGAATCTTTCGCTGTAAGTTTGTTTACAATTGAAGTTTTAATAAAAATCCAATTTTTGTCGCCGTCGAAGAAGGAAATTTTCATCTTGTTGGCAAAAATTTCTAGGTTCCGGCGGATTTCATTTCTATTCAAAAGCTTCCCAGATTGTTTAGCCTGTGCGTGATTGTTGTATAAACTTTATTCGGCTAATGTTTAGATGACTTCGTTCTTTTTAAAGCCGATTGGGACGAGTCCATGCTCCACAGCAATTCAATCTCGCGGTGTAGGTTTTCGTAGCAGAATCCACTGAAGTTGAGCACCATTAGAATGAAGTAAACAAATCCAATATATAAGGTTTATTATGATCTCAAATATGTTTGTTGAAAGAGGCGACTGCCTTCGAGTATGTATGAATATCAAGTGAAGATCAATCAGCAGGCGTAAAAAATAGTAACGTCAATGAATCAGCGGAGTTCTCACTAATTTTTATCGGAGAAGATGGTGCCATTAATCTGCTAATATTGAGGAATATTTTAAAAGATCAAAACGGTATATAAGGCTTTCTCGGTTATATTCATTCTCTCCCTTTCTTATCACTTTATTCTTCTTGTTTCCTCTCCCTCTTTCTCATCCACTTCGACCTTGATGCCATCTACTTTAATACTTAGAATTAACTCTCCCGTTTATTGCATTGGGATAAGGCACATGTAGCGTAATGGCCAGAGGTGCCCTGCAATACATATGGGATCGATCTCGTACCCTAGGCAAGCCCTCCAGATCACCGGTGTTGACAAATTGCTACCAGAGGTCCCTGGAAAAAAAAGCAGCACTGATTCAATACATCGTTAGGTCACCGGAAATCACTGCACAGGTTAAATATGCATTCAGTTATATCCAGCGATGACTGATTAAGTAGAATGCATGGCTCACTTTTAGAATTGATTAACGATGAGATCTTTATCCATTTTTATTATTTTAGGCTAATTTTGATGCTCAAGTATTCAATACCCTGGCCTCCAGCTAAGTCAAACGATAAATTTGGACATCACCAGACTTCTCACTGAGAGTGAAAATGAACGAACTAGGGATGTAAAGGATCGGTTCACGAAACCCAGAGATTTTACAATTTTTTTTGGCTAATCGTGGCTGGAAGGTGTTCCTGGGTGTCGGACTGCGATGTACAGCGGCGGGATTTGTAACCCTGGCAGAGGCTACTAAGATGAGAAGGAGTCTGACGTTTCCATCAGGAGGCCTTGCTAAGAGTAAACCAATGCCAGGAGCCACTACCGTCCTGGTATCAAAGTCGCATGGTGGTAAATCTTTCTCTGATCCACAAGGGCTGTGAATGCCTGTGGTAGTGAGAACCTGGGGCAGACTTTGGCCAGGCTGACCTCGGGGCTTCAGTGGAACGATAGCTGAGCTCCGAAAAATGGAGATTATGCTGGGTCTCGAACAACTAGTAATGGTGGGCTGTCCAAGTATCCAAGTAAGTCCTGACGAAATGGCAAGTGTGTTGACGTTCTAAGCAGAATCTTTTGTATTCATATCAAATGTCGGTCTTGAATTGTTTATAGTGCGGTTTTTAGTGATCTATTTACCATATACTCCCATTGTTAGGCATTAAGTAAATGAAGGGCGCGTGTGGCGCAGTGGTTGGAGGTGCCACTGCGACACACACGTGGAATCAATCGCCTCGCCCATTGCCCACCAAGCCTTCAATCCCTCCGGGGCCGGCAAATTGGTACCATTGTTTGGAAGGATAGCAGCTCCGGCTCGATTCATCGCTAGGTCACCGTGAGTCATTGTAAAGGCCAGATATGCATTCAATCACTTCCAAACGATGCTCATTGAAGTCGAATGCATGGCGCATCCTTCAGGTATTGATCACCGCCGAGAGCTCTACTCTTCTTTATTCCTTACGTGTGAGATGATGCACGGCTATTACAAAGCCCCTCGACTAAGTGTATGCTAGAAAGGCTAGCCCGAAATGAAGCCGTTTTAGAAAAAACTGTTGTAGGATGTTTTAATAAATACATTTCCCGCAGTGTTAGCACAGCTTCGAAATGTACCAGTTTTTTGACAAATACAGATAGCTTTTCGATGACTATGACAGTTATGGACGTGAGCACTTCAATGAAAAACGAAAAAAACGAAAACGAAAAAAAAACGTAAACCTAAGCAACAAATTAGCCTATATAATATAAGAATGAACTTTCTTGAAAATTACAAATTCTCGCTTAGGGTGGGAATTTCAAGGAGTTCTAACAGTAATACGACGGAGAGAATAACAAATTGTTCAACCTCGAACAAACTAGTATCAGTACCCTATACACATGGCTCTCTCCTCCTCGACGTCAGGCATCTTAAGCTGCCGCTGATAGGGATTTAATCCTTGAGTAGAATTTCACTGAAGCAGATTAAAACAAGGCGTCCGCGACACGCCATAGACACTACTTTTTGCCTACAATGTCGAAAAAGTTTGCACACTCTCGATCTCAGCGTTCTAAAAAGAACTTCAGTCTCTAATTTGCACCAAGTTTAATGCTTTCATTTTAAAACAGCTAAAGACTGACACATCCGCCGGGCCATAAAAATGGACTACCATTCCTTTCATCTGCATTGTTTTCCAATTTAACAAAGTTGTTTTTATTTTAAAAAATCAAGTTTACATTGATTGCAAAACTGTATGATGTTTCAATCTTAGCACGTTGTCTTTTGATGTTGGAGCGAAGGAGACTGAACCCGCACTGGTCTAGAACTTTTCGATTAGGAACATTCAAAAATTAGCAGTTGTCAAACACATTACCTGCACCAATTCATTTATTTCCTCAGGCTCAGTGATGCTGCAGTATGACAGCCACGATTGAATTAGTCCGAGTATGGTTTAACTGATCCCTTGTGAAGTGTGAGGGGACGAATACATTAGAGAAACCAGTAGACCACTTTGCTTCGTATAAAGGAGCACCTAGTCCGTAAATTCAAAGTTAAAACAAATACTCCAGCAGTCGTACATAGCGTAGACGCGCATACATGTGACTAGGACACAGAGACATAACAAGAAACATTTTGAAGTGGAAGTTAGCGTCCTCGCACAGGAACAGAGAACTCCAGCGCGCAAAACCTGGAAGCATTTTGGATAAATTTTAAGAATCCGGAAATGAACTGCAGAGATGAATACTTCGTAACCACGCGCGACCTCACAGGATATTTAAAGCGGATGTTTTAAAGTAAGAGACACATTACGCTTCCATGTGATCTCTGTGCGGTTGGTCACCTCACGAACTACCTAGTGGAAGAGTTATAGAAAGTAGTGAGTATGTGAAGGCGCTACATTGTTTTCAATG